ATCCAGGAATGCACGATTGTTTTATCATTAGAAAATCAATAAGCATGGGCTGACCCTGTGGCGCACTCGGGAGAGTGCGGCGCTGGGAGCGCAGCGACGCTCCCGCCCCAGGTTCGGATCCTATATAGGAATGGCCGGTGTGCTCTGGCTGAGCGCGGTGTGGGCGACACCACACCAAGGGTTGCGATCCCTTATCGGTCACGAAAAAGACAAAAAAAGAAAATCAATAAGCATAATCACCACATTTATTTCAGAAGAGTCCTTTTATTCAATTCAAGTATTTATTAGTACCATCCTGGGCCAGGTACAGTTCTAGGTAATTGAGTTTTATCAGTGAATGAACAGGATTGTCACAGAGAAAGCATTAAATAATTCAAGAAAAATTCAGCCTTACAAATTATGAAACATTGGGAAGTCTTTAACCATGTAAAAGCTGAGTATTTAAAAGAAAATCAGCAAACAAATCAATAAAATAGAGAGCATACCTCATTTGAATCGTGAAGAAAAGCTGCTTGTATTCTTAGTATTGTGCTGGAAGTTGTATTCAGTCCAGTAAAGCAAGAAAAAATACATTAAAAAAGGAAAAAAGAAAAAATACATATGATGTAATGACTGAAGTGGTAAAATAATCATTACTATTTACAGATGATTGCCTGTGTGGAAAACAAAAATCCGTATATAAATGACCTGGACTGAATGATGACCTCCAAAATTCTTTACATTAAAGCTCTAAATCCCAAGGTGAATATATTTGAAAATAGGGCCTCTAGGAAGTAATTATGGTTAAATGAGGTAACAAATGTCAGGGCCCAATCCAAGAGGACTGTGACCTTATCAGAAGAGAAAGGGACCTCTTTCTAGGTCTTCATCATGGGATGTACAGTGAGGATGTAGGAATTTGCATGCCAGGAAGACAGCTCTCATCAGAAGTCAACCATGCAGGGTATCTGATCTCAGATTTCTAGCCTCCAGAATTGTAAGGAAATAAATTTCTGTATATTTTCACATTCCTTTCTTTAAAATTAAATGAATTTTTAAGCCACTTGATCTGGATTTTGGTATCAAGAAGTGGGGTGCTGCAGTAAAAAATACCTAAAAAGGTAAAAATAGCTTTGAAACTGAGTAACAGGTAGAGGCTGGAAAAGTTTTAAAATGCAAGGTAGAAATAAGAAGAGTAACTCTGTTGGGGTGTTTCTGGGGAATGAGGAACATCACTGGAAAACAGAAAAGAATCCTTTATTTATTGTAACATAGTTGATTGTACATATCTGTGGAGTACAGAGTTGAATATCAATACTTCTGTGCAATATGTGATGTTCAAATAAGGATAATTTGTTCCTCCAATTTATAGTAAAATGCAAAAAGAGGAGAGTTGAGTTGCAGAAGGAATTATTCAGCAAAAAGAAACAGGAGTTTGGAGATTTGGAAAATTCTCAGTCTATCCATATTGCAAAAAATTGAGAACGCTTATACTGAAGAGAATCTAAAGGTATGGCTAAACAACCATTTCATAAAGCGACCATGGGTAGGACTCCTCAACTGTATCAGCTATCTCAACAGCAGTGAGGAAGAGACTGGATTACACTAGCTGAGACACTGCCACTGAGATTTTTAAAATTTTTATTGAATCATAATTGATTATACATATTTACATGTTTGGGGGGTTCAACGTTGACATATGTTGATCAAATCACTATTACTTACATATATATTGTTACAAATTGTACTTATTCTTTATGCCCCTTGCCCAATCTCTTCCCATTCCCCGCCCCCACCTCTGATAACCCTAGACTTCTTCTCTCCTTCTGAACGAGTAATGGTTACTCTGTTGATTTGTTGCCTAGATGATCTGTGAAATGCTGAGAGGTGTGTTCAGGTCCCCCAATATCATCATAGAGCAGATGCTTCTTCTGTTTCTCTGGAATGGGCTTTATGGAGAGAAACATCCCTCTTCCTTTCTTTGGTGTCTGCTGGTGACTCTTTATGTCAATGCACTCTAGTGGCTGGTGGACCATCAGCACAGTGGTTGTGGCATGACCACTTCATGGTTATTGTGCTGGCTGTCGTGGACCACCAACATGGAGGTAATGTTTCTGGCATGCTCCTTACCTAGTTACTGGTGGCTCCCAGTTCCATACCTCAGGATCCCAGGCAGGCCCCATGGAAATGGCAGTGTGCCTGGTTGTGGGAGGAGGGTTCAGTCCCTGGGTCCATGCCTCAGGGTGATGGTGTGCCTGGTTGCTGCCACTGAGATTTAAAATAGACACAGAAGGTGGGAAAGAATAGGTAAGCCTGTTGGATACCTTGGATTTTTACGAGAAGGGAACACAGAGAGAATCAGCTGTGAAACTAACAGAAAGAGAAATTTAAAAAGTAAGCCCATTTACAATTGTCATGAAAAAAATAAAATACCTGGGGATCAATTTAACCAAGGAGGTGAGAGACCTCTACAATGAGAACTACAAACCACTTCTGAAAGAAATAAGAAGACAAAAAAACATGGAAAGATATTCCATGCTCTTGGATTGGGAGAATTAACATTGTCTATATTACCCAAAGCGATCTACAGATTAAATGCAATCCCCATTAAAACACCAATGACATTCTCCACAGAAATGGAAAAAAACAATCTTACTTTTCATATGGAACAAGAAAAGACCCCAAATAGCCAAAGCAATACTGGGCAAAAAAAGTAAAGCCAGAGGCATAATACTAGCCAACTTCAAATTATATTACAAAGCTATTGTAACCAAAACAGCATGATACTGGTATAAAAATAGACATTCGGACCAGTGGAGTAGTATCGAGAACACAGAAATCACCCCTCAGGCTTATAGCCATCTGATATTGGACATAGGCAACAAATATCTACACTGGGGAAAAGATTGTGTTTTAGTCCATTCTGTGTTGCTATAACAGAAATACCTGAGACTGGGTAATTTATAAAGAAAAGAGGTTTATTTGGCTTACAATTCTGGGACAGCTGCATCTGGCATGGGCCTCAGACTACTTCTACTCATGGCGGAAAGTGGCAGGCAGCTGGTGTGTACAAACAGATCACATGGCAAGAGGAAGCGAGAGAGAGAGAGAGAGAGAGAGAGAGAGAGAAGGCGCCAGGGTCTTTTTAAGCAACAAGCTCTCACGGGAATAGAGCAAGAACTCACTCATTGATGCCCCCTCCCCCAGGGAGGGCATTAATCCATTCATGAGGGATCTATCCCCATGACTCAATCAGTTTCCAACTGCCACATTGGAGATCAAATTTCCACATGAGTTTTGGAGGGAACAACACATCCAAACTCCATCAGATTGCCTCTTCAACAAGTGGTGCCGGGAAAACCGGATATCGACATGCAGAAGAATGAAGCTAGATATGCGTCTCTCACCACACACTAAAATCAACTCAAAATGGATTAAAGACCTGAAACTATTTAACATTATTAAGGGAAAATATAGGTTAAACACTTCAGCAACTAGGTCTGGGCAAAGGCTTTATGAACATGAGCCTGAAAGCACAGCAGCAAAAAAATAAATAAATAAATGGGACTATAGCAAACTAAAAAGCTTCTGCACAGCAAAAGAAAAAATCAACAGAGTGAAACAACAATCTACAGAGTGGGAGAAAATTTTGGCTATGCTCCGACAAGGGATTAATATCCAGAATATACACAGAACTCAAGCAATTATACAGTAAAAAACCAAACAAACCAATTAAAAAATGGGCAAAGGAACTGAATAGACATTTTTCAAAGGAAGACATACAAATGGACAACACGTACATTAAAAAATGCTCAACATCTAGTCATCAGGGAAATGCAAATTAAAACTACACTGAAGGGGCCAGCCCGTGGCACACTTGGGAGAGCATGGTGCTGACACCACCAAGTCAAGTGTTAAGATACCCTTACTGGTCATCTTTAAAAAAAAAAACTACAGTGAGATACCCTCTTACCCCAGTTAGATTGGCTATAATCAAAAAGATGGTGAATAACAAATGCTGATGAGGATGTGTCAAGAAGAGAACACTCCTACACTGTTGGTGGGACTGTAAATTAGTACAACCACTATGGAAAACAGTATGGACGTTTCTCAAACAACTACAGATAGATCTTCCATACAAGCCAGCAATCCCTCTTCTGGGTATATACCCAGAGGAATGGAAATCATCATGTCAAAGGGATACCTGCACTCCCATGTTCATTGCAGATCTGTTTACAATAACCAAGATATGGAACCAACCTAAATGTCCATTGACGGATGATTGGATAAGGAAACTGTGGTATATATACACCATGGAATACTACTCTGCCATAAAAAAGAATGAAATACTCCCATTTGCAACATGGATGAACCTGGATAAACTTATGTTGACTGAAATAAGCAAAGCACAGAGGGATAAATATAGCATGTGCTCACTCATATGTAGGAGCTAAGAAAGAAGGAAAGAAAGAAAGACCATAGTAGTGCATTGGTCTTAAAGAGTGAGGGAACATTCCTAGGGCTACAAAGTGGAGTTGGGGGGAAATGGGTGAGAGGGAGGGAGATTGGGGCATAATTGGTGGGGGACATGGGGTAAAAAAGTAATTTCTGGTAATGGGTATGCTCCCAGTATGAATCTGGCCCTCACATCATGGGCACAAGGGGTGACAATTAGCTTTGTATCTCATGAATATTCATAATAAAAAAAAAGAAAAAGAAAATGCACTAGCAGTATAGAACAGGTAAGAAACATGGTTTCAGGGACTGGCCAGTTAGCTCAATCAGTAGAGCATGGTGCTAATAACACCAAGGTTAAGAGTCTGGATCCCCAAACTAGCCAGCTGAAAAAAAAGATGTTTTCATTCTTGGCATGCTCAACAGGATCAGTGGGAACAGAAGATAAGCTTGGAGAAGCGTCTCCCAACAATCCATTTCAGGTCCTACATCATGTTGATTTCTGATGAATTTTCACATGAGTATGCCACACTGGCAGCCACTAACAGAAGTTAGGACCAAATCTGTTTGCTTTATCTCATGTAGCATTTATTAATGCTACCATCACTAGGAGTCCAAGCACCAGGATGAGGCCAACCTGCCCATCCACAGCCCAGAAGTGCTCAGACTCAGCACCTGTAAGCAATTTCCAGGGGGGAACTGTGGTTCTTATTTCACACAATCAGGATGACATCTAAGGAAAGTCTATGACTGTTACAACCCACACAAGGCAATTAAGACTAATCTGGTGATCTCTGACGTCCAGGCCAATAATTAAAAGGCGGCAACACATGGGCTAAATATTCATACCCTTATATGCACAGGGTTATTCCCCAGTGTGAATTCTTGTATGTTTACTTAGGCTTGAGGAAACAGCAAATGCTTTCCCACAGTGCTCACACACAAAGGGTTTCTCCCCAGTATGAGCTCGAATGTGAATGTTAAGGGATGAGGAACATATAAATGCTTTCCCACATATCTCACACACGAAGAGCTTTTCTCCACTGTGAGTTTTCAGATGTTTAGCACAATGAGAGGAAGTAAGGAAGGCTTTCCCACACTCAGCACATTCAAAAGACTTCTCTCCTGTGTGAGTTCTTATATGTCGAATAAGGCCCGAGAATCTAGTGAAGGCCTTCCCACATTCCTTACATTCATAAGGTTTCTGTCCACTGTGGGTTTGCAAGTGATTTTCGAGGCATGCAAGATATTTAAAGCCTTTTCCACATTCCTTACATTTGTAGGGTTTTCTTGAATTGAGAATTTGAAGAAGCACAGCAAGGCTTGGAGTTGGACTGAAGACTTTTCTAGATTGATCAAACTCAGAATGTCTCTGTCCAATAGGTGTTTTCTTGTGGAGAGTAACGATGTCTTTTCCATAGTGATTACACTCAGAAGTGTTCCCTTGATTTTGAGTTTTCACGTGTGTCTTAAAGCATGAGTGTTCACGGAAGACTTCTCCACATTGCTTAAAGTCACAGAGTTCTCCTCCACTGCAGCTTCTTGCCTGCAGAGGAAGAGATAAATGAGTAAAGGAATTTTCAGACATATTAATATACTTCACCCATCTGAAGATAGGAATATTATGTTGATAATTATGATTTTTACAATTTATTACATGTATTCATTTCCTAACCTCTTGATTTTTTGCAAATGGAATGATGGAATCTTTTGACAAAATCCTGTGCCATCTACTCTAAGTATAAAATAAATATGTAGATTTTCATGAAACCTCAATGTCTACGCACACGCGGTAAATGTGTACCTGTGGGAATAATGAAGCAACAAAGTTCACAATGGGTTTGGAGCATCACAAAATTCATCATTCCCAATCTTTTCTGAGTGGAAAATAAAAAATATACCTTGTGAATCTTACCGTTGGTATCCCATCGGATATCTGTTTCCTAAAAAATTCCTGCTGAAGTGCTGACGGTTTGCTTCTATGTCGTATTTCACACTCTAAAGTTAAACAGAAAAAGAAGTGTAAGGGTTTGGAGACAGAAATGGTATACAGAAGTTGTTTAAAATGATGAGTCACAGGGCCAGCCGTGGCTCACATGGGAGAGTGTGGTGCTGATAATACCAAGGCCAGGGGTTCGGATCCCTATATAGGGATGGCCGGTTAGCTCACTTGGGAGAGTGTGGTGCTGACAACACCAAGCCAAGGGCTAAGATCCCCTTACTGGTCATCTTTTAAAATAAATAAAATAAAATAAAATGAAGAGTCATTTGTACTTGTTTTCAAATTAAACATGGTAAGAAAATAAAAGCACAGAGAAATTAGAGAATTTTGGTATGTCAAAAATTTGGCAATAAGGGTATGAGGTCAACATTTTAGAAAGTTTGTTACAAACTGACTATATGAAAATTAAAACTGATGATGAACAGAAAAGAAGATGATCAGGAAAGGAAAGTAGAAAAGATGTGGCAAAAAGGCATACAACAAAACAATAAACTTGAAGAAAAAACAGAACAGGTAGTTTTGCAAGATCATAGGAATGCTTGAGTAGATGGAAGGTGAACGAATATGGGAAGATGAAGATGTCTGAAATTCTGAGAAAAATCGCTTCAACCTTCAGAGGCTAAGTGCATCTTTAAAAATTTTCTCACTATGTTGCAAAAACAGAGTTCTTCACAAACACTCACGTTTGAAAACTCCACTCTCCACTGTCCTCAGCTCTTCTTGTTTTAACCAAGATATCAGTCTGGGTATGAAGAGCTGACATCCTGGGCAGATAGAAAGATACATTAATAAAAGACACTCAAGCAAGAGATGACAAAGCTTCCTATGATTCAGGAACTGTAATTGTAATGAAACCAATGTAATTATTTCAAAAGGGCTAAAAATGCAAATATCCCTGTTTCTATGCCCCCAAAAGATTGGTTATCTCTAATCCCTGAAATCCAAATTCAGGCTGATGTACACATTTACAAAGCACAAAGACTTTTAACATTCCCACTGGTTCTCAAATATAGTACATTAGATTCATCCTGAGGGTTTCTTAAAACAGATGACTGAGCCCAACCAGAGTTTACAATTTAGTATGCCAAAGGTGGACAAGAAAAATACCCATTTCTAACGGACTGAGGCTACTGTCACTACACCATTTTGAGAACCACCACAGTAGACTAAAACGTATTACGGCAGGAACTATGCCTCTGTTATTTCCTACTGTATTCACAATCGACACGACCACTTCTGCAACACAATAAGCATGTGACATATTTGTTTCCTAAGACATTAAAAGTAATGATGCTAGTCTTACCTACGAAGGCCAAGTTCCTGTAGTTCTCCAGCATCACATCTCTGTAGAGGTATCTCTGACTTGTGTCCAGTAAATTCCACTCTTCTGGGGTGAATTCCACAGCCACATCATAAAAGGTCACTGAATGCTAAACCGTCACACACATGCTGGTTTGAGCCAATTAACATTTCCATTAATGTCCACTGGCGAATCAGGAAGGGAGACCTAATACTTATACATAATTCTGAGATCTCCCATGATCCACACCCAGAATTCACTGGCCCTAGAACTCTTCTCTCTAAACTTACTCAGTGTTGCTCTCCTACAATATTATGCTTTTTTTGCCCTGTAAGGGGATCGTAACTCTTGGCTCGATGTCGTCCGCACCACGCTCAGCCAGTGAGCACACTGGCCATCCCTATAAAGGATCTGAACCCACGGCCTCGGCGCTACCAGTGCCGCACTCTCCCGAGTGAGCCACGGGGCCGGCCCACAATATTATGCCTTTAACAGCACTTCTTAAACATGAGTTTATCTCAGCATGACCTACTTAGGAGCTCTTCCTTTCCTATTCGTCTCTATTGCAGGACACTCCCAGCACAATGCAGCCATGTGATAAATGCTGACGAATGAATAAATACTATGAGAAAAGGACACACTCAAATCCCTTACCATCTGCCAGAGCACCCAGCAAAATAAGAATCATGCAGTTGGCACCATTGAGGGTCAAGATTAATTAGTAATTACAGAAATACCGGGATGATTTTCAAGTGAACACCTCACCTATGTGAGAGGCTCCACTCCCTGGTAGAAGTTCAAGTAGGGACTCAGTTCTTGAGTAAGGTTTTATTTGCTTTAAGAACCTCTGGAGACAAGCCTATCTAGAAGGAAATGCAAGTACCTGGTGGATGCAAGATTATCATTTTGTACAAGAATACACTTTCTTTTTACCTGAGAATTTATCGACCGGTCAGCCACCATCCTTTCTACCTTTGTCTCTTCTTCAGGAAAGCAGATTGGTTCCCTTAGAAAGACGATCTCCTGGAAAAGAAAGAGGTATTACAATCCAGAGCTGCCCATAATTCCCACATTCACATATCTGGAAGTCCTTCCACTCTAGTTTGAAATTCCCATATAATCCTGCATACTCAAGAAAACTAAAACAAATACACAGTACTGTCAAAAATGCAACTGTAGTCCTATCTTACCTAGGGCCAGAAAAGCAGACTGTTAGCCATGCTGCCTGCAGTGAAAAGGGTAATATAATCTCATTTTACATGTAAGAAAACTTAAGCACTGAAAATCTTGATTCTTTATTTGCCCACAGTGAAAGAATCAAAGATTAAGGAGCACCACCTCCCAAAGCAAATAAATCAGGGGACTGCATTATAAAACAGCATTCTGTGTCCCACTTCAGCTCCTACTAAATGAAACAGCAGCATAACTGCTCAAGGACAGGCCCCAGGACTCTGTATTGTGTAGAGGAGACCTAAAGCAGAGTATCTGAAAAACAGCATCAAGAAAGACTTACCATGGTACAAATCAATGGCCGCCACACTGTGAGGCTAATGGAAAAATGTGCCTGAACACTCCCTTCCTGAATGCCAAGATCATTTCAGGGCAGCTTATGAATCTAAGTGGATAGAGCTAATCTCCATTCCTCTTTATACAGGGCTTTTTGGAGTCCTGTTCTTATCAATCATTAATCAATAAGCATCAAATATCAATCATCACACATCACACATTAGTTCTCTCTTAAGAGCTCTCTCTGCAACTGATATATTTGAAAGCCATTGAAAACTGTCTACTCAATAACAATAATACTACTAAAATCAACTAACATACACTGAAGACCAGTATTTGTCAGAAGTGGCTGTAGTATCTTTTTTTTTTTTTCCTTTTTTGTCTTTTTTACTGACCGGTAACTGGATCGCAACCCTCGGTGTCGCACCCGCACCGGGGACCAGCAACGGGATCGCAACCCTCCGTGTTGCGCCCGCACCACGCTCAGCCAGTGAGCGGGAACCGGTCTCCACATGGGATCCAAACCCTCGGCGGGAGCGCTTCTGCGCTCCCAAGCAGCGCACTCTCCAGTGCACTACCAGGCCGGCTCGCGCTCAGCCAGTGAGCGGGAACCGGTCTCCACATGGGATCCAAACCCTCGGCGGGAGCCCTTCTGCGCTCCCAAGCGGCGCACTCTCCAGTGCACTACCAGGCCGGCCCTGTAGTATCTTTACATATATAAGCTCACTTAATTATCATAATTGTCCTTCACAGTAGATATAATTACCCCTATTTATACTGGGGGGAAAGAAAACTACATTCACACAACACTAGTAATCACCTCTTCAAGGCCCCACCTTTCAAATACCATAATAAGATTTCCCACTCTCAACAGTTACAGTGGAATTAAGCTTCTAATATATGGATTTTGGGGGACAGAATTCAATCAACCCATAGCACCCAGGAACCTCAATACTGGGTATATATGCAAAGGTAAGGAATTGCTATGTCAAAGAGATATTCATACTCCCATGTTTACTGCAGAACAATCCACAATAGCCAAGATATGGAATTAAGCTAAGCCACAGATAAATGGACAGAGAAAATGTAATATATGTACACAATGGAATACTACTCATCCATTAAAAAGCATGAAATCCTGTCATTTGCAGCAACATGGATGAGTTTGGAGGACATTATGTTAACTTAAATAAGTCAGAAACAGAAAGAAAAATACCACATGCTCTCACTCATATATGGAAGCTAAGAAAGTTGATTGCATAGTAGTGTGGGGGGATGGGGGGAGGTAGAGTGTAGAATAGTGGTTACCAGAGGCTGTAAATGATAGGGAGAGGAATAGTGAGAGATCAATTAAGGAACAAAAAATCACATCTCGATAGCAGGAATAAGGTCTAGGGTTCCACTCCCCCTCGCACAACCAGGCACACCACCAGCACCAAGGAGCATGCCAAAAACATCACCTCCATATGGGTGGCCTACCACAGCCACCACAGCTGCCACGAAAGTGGCTAGATGTTACAACCACCACACAGATGGTCTACCAGCCACTGGAGTACATTAACACAAGGAGAGTCACCAGCAGAGACCAAGAAAAGAAGAGGATGTCTCTCTCCACAAAGCCCATTCCAGAGTGACAGAAGCATCTGCTCTATGATAATATTGGGGGACCTGAACCCACCTCTCAGCATTGGACAGATCATCTAGGCAACAAATCAACAGAGTAACCATTACTCTTTCAGAAGAACAGAAGAAATCTAAGGTAATTAGAGGGGGGTGGGGGAGAAAGGAGAGGATGAGGAAAGATAAGGGGCATAAAGAATAAGTACAATTTGTAACAATATATATACTAGTAATATTGATTTGATCAACATGTCGACATTGAACCCTAAAAATATGTATAATCAATTATGATTCAATAAAAATTAAAAAAAAATAAAGATCTAGAGTTCCACAGCACTGTAGGTTGACTACATTTAATAATTTATGGTATAGTTTCAACTGTCTAGAGGAGAAGATTTTGAATATTCCCAACACAAAGAAAGGACAAATGTTTCTGGTGATGGACATGTTAATTAATCTTATTTGATCATTACGCATTGTATATATGTATCAAAGTATTAACAGTACCTTATAAATACATATGATTTTTAAAAAGGAAAAAAATTAAAAATTAAATAAATATGTACACTTATTATGAGTCATTAAAAATCTTTTAAATTAAGGGCCAGCCCATGGCTCACTTGGGAGAGTGTGGTGTTTATAACACCAAGGCCACGGGTTCAGATGTCTATATACGGATGGCCCGTTAGCTCACTTAGGAGAGCATGGTGCTGACAACACCAAGTCAAGGATGAAGATCCCCTTATGGGTCATCATTATTTAAAAAAAAAAAAATCTTTTAAATTAAAAAATTTTTTAAAGAATTTCCTTGGGCTGGCCCTTTAGGTCAGTTTGAGCATGGTGCTAATAACACCAAGGTCCAGGGTGCCATTGGTCCAGGGTTGCTGGCCAGCCGAACAACAAAAAAATAACTTCCTACTCATGAAAATAAAACATATTTATGTTTTTTCCTACTTTCTCTACATTTACATCATTTGATCAAGTATCACTTAGGTTTCCTGTCAGTTACACGTTGTAGATTTGTTCCTCACTTTTTTCCCCAACCAATTGAAAATAACTGTCTAAGAAAAAAGACGCTGTTTCTCCTGTATTCTCACACTCCAATCAGCACAGAAGACTTCTGTGACCCAATGAGTGGGGGTTTTCCCCACACACACCAAGCAAGCAATGCTGCAGCAGATAACAGCTGGGTGTCCTCCAATCCAATTCCAGCACTATTTTCCTGGAGATAGCATCAGATCTCAAAGGTTGAGGACTCAGTCCCACAAGACTGAGCCCCTCTTCAGACGCCTTTCACAAGCTCCAGGTTATTCTGCCTATGCTTCTGAACTGGCTATCAACTGGGGTTCCTACAACCCCTCTTTGGGATTGACTAATTTGCTAGGGTAGCTCACAGAACACAGGAAAACACATTTACTGGTTTATTGTAAAGGATATTACAAAGGATATGAAGAGAGACGGGGGAGGTATGGGGGAAGCAAGGAGCTTTTTCCATGTCCTCCCCAGGTGTGCCACCCTCTAGGAACATCCACCTACTCAGTTATCAGGGGCTCTCTGAACCCAGTCCTTTTGGATTTTATGGAAGCTTCATTACATATGCTTGACTGATTAAATCATTGGCCATGGGTAATCAACTTAACCTTCAGCCTTTCTCCCCTCCCTGGAGGTTTGCAGATGGAGCTGAAAGACCAAACCCCCTAATGCTGCACTGGTCTTTCTGCTGACCAGCCCCCTTCCTTAAGCTACGTAGGGGCTACCAGCCATCAGTCAACTCAGCGTACAGAAAGACACTCATTACTTTGGAGCCCAAGGATTTTAGGAATTGTATGCCAGGAAATAGGGATGAAGACCAAATAAGTATTTCACAATACCATTGTCAAAGCTAGGAGTAACCCTTGATGCATCTGCCTCTCACCATAGAAATGTAATCAGCCAGTTCATCAATGATTTCCTTACCCCCAACTCCCCTCCCTTTCAACATGATTAACTCCTATAGCCTGTCTTTTTTGGTCTCAGCTTAAACAGAACTCACTATTCTTACTTTCACCTATTTCCATACATGCATAAAGAAAACACTGTCCACTACTTTACTTCCAAAACTCTCATCAGTTTATAACACCTTTATTTGCCTGGTTAGCTGTTTGACCCTCCACTAGTTTACAAGTTCCCTAACAAAAGACCTAGGTTGAATGTTTTCATTGTGCCTTAATCAACCATTCAAGCATTCACCAGTTTAGAGGAAATACTGAAACATTTCAACACACCATCAGAATACAATCAGAAATATCAAAATGTGTGACTTTCTGAAAGAATGTGTGATCCTCCAAAAAGTTAATATAACAGAGAAACACAGTGATGGCTCTAGGTTCAAAGATACAAAAAGACATAAACAATTTAAATACAGAAACACTGAATGGATCCACGATCCAAAAACATCCAACAGCTATGCAAACATTTTTGTTTTTTACACAAAGTACATACTAGATGACTTTATTTTTAATTGTCTTGGTTCCAATAACAGTATTGTGGTTTTACTAGAACAATGTCCTTAACTTCAGGAGATGTATTACCAACTCTTCAAAAGCCATATATCACGCCTGCAATTTTCAACGTACTTACTTCCAAATAGTTCACTATAAAATATTATTTTCTTTTTGTGGGGAGAAAACAAATGGTAAATTCAATTAGTAGTAGTATTGTAACAAAGCCTCCATCCTTCCCTCACGGAGGGCCCCGTTTTTAAGGTCTGTGCGGAGGTACAAGCCTACGAAGTTCAAGCACAGTATTCTTGGTGGGTTTTTTTTTCCCCTTTCTTTGCCTTAGAACTTGCAACTAAATTACTCTTGTTTTTCTTCAATAAAAAGACCTGTCTGCAGTCTAAATACGTTTATATTTACATACAGAAATATGTACCCCCCTACCCCAGCCAGCGAAGAAACTATTTTCTCTTTCTACCTGAATAAAATATATAAAGACCAGCAATTATGTCAACTGCTGGTCTCTTCCGGAAAAAGAGAGGAAAAAAAAAAAAAAAAAAGCAAATCTACGACACGCAAAAAAAATTGAAATTCTCAGATGAAACATTCTTTTCTGTAAAAAAAGGAGGCGGCGGCTCCTTGAGCCAACTTTCTCCCAATGCTCACCGGAACGCTCCGGGATCTCTCCAACGCGGGAAATTATTTTCCTACTGGAAAAAAATCCACAGAGGTTGCTTTGGAGGTTTCTGAAGGGAGGCGCACGGTGGATGAAAACACTCCGGGGACGCGCCCTTCAGACGCTTCCCGACTCGGCACCCGGCGGGGACCGACAGCCCGAGCGGCGTCTCGGCCCTGACAGCGCCGGAAGGACCCGCGGCCTCGGCGGAGGCGAGCAGAGCGGGCCGGGCCTCTCTCGGGAGGCCCCTCGGTGGCCCAGGCCAAGCTTGAACTTTCACCGCCTGCCTATCCCCTTCACCGGGACTCGCCAGGGCCGAGTTGACAACGACGACCAAGCAGGAACGTCTCCCGAGTACTCGCGCAAGAAAAGCCTGGGAAGATGGCGGTGCGCCGCTGACGTCACTTCCGCTTCCGGTGTCTAGTTTGGGTTGGCTCCGGCACTCGGACCTCAGCCACGTTGTACACTTCAGCCGGGAAAGTCTAGTCTCCTCTCGGGTGGGTGCGGATGGACCCCGGGGTCGACTCGCAGGGACTGGAGGCAGAAACGCGCCCAGAGACAAGGTCGAGGGTGGAACCCAGCCTGTGGGCGGGGCTACGGGCGGGGGCGGGGCCGTGTAGAAGGCGGAACACAGCAGAAGGACAAGCGTAGGGGTGGGGATTCACCCCACAGGACGGTCAGCGAAAGCGTTTCTGCCTGCAGGGTGGAACCCAGCCTGTGGGCGGGGCTACGGGCGGGGGCGGGGCCGTGTAGAGGGCGGAACACAGCAGAAGGACAAGCGTAGGGGTGGGGATTCACCCCACAGGACGGTCAGCGAAAGCGTTTCTGCCTGCCTCTCCCCACGTTCCTGGAGCCCACGTTGGTAAATCTGAAATGGCCTCTCTCCTGCATTCAGTCACTACCGTCTTTAAGCCATTATTTCAACTTCTTTTTATGTGCATGGACACCGCGCTAAACTCTAATGGTTGAATCTGTTATGTTTTCGATGTACGGATATTTTTTGTAAATCTTGAATTTTTTTTTTTTTTTTCTTACGAATGTGTCTTTTACTTTTTATTTCTTGGAGCTTACTCTGTGACCCAGAGCCTTCCATACCATGTTGCAAAATAGCACTGACAATAGCCATTCTTCATTTGTGCAGTTTGGGTTCTAAAGTTTCTCTGATGATCATGTTTGCTGTGGTTTTCACTGGGTGACTTTGTGGAGTCAATAAAGTTATTTTGATCACTGATTTACTAACACATTTTACCAAGAATTGTTCACGTACACTATTTTCAAACTTGTTTTATGAATCTATTGAATTGATAACTATTTTGCGGAGCTGGCCGGTTGTTCACTTGGTTAGAGTGCGGTGTTATAACACCAAGACCAAAGTTCGGATCCCGAACTCGTCAGCCACCAGAAAAAAAAGAGAAAAAGATAATTATTTTGTTATGGTTGAATTTTCATCTTTTGCTGTACAAAATATTCCATTCTTATGTAGCAGACTCAAGGGAGTTTGTTTTTTAAAATAACATCTGGGTTTCCTGCCTTGCTTTAAAAAGTCTTCTTAAACTTTAGATTACATCCAGATTTCTTAATTTTCTTCTGAAATGTATTACTTTTAAAAACATTCAAATCCTTGATCCTCATGAGATGTTTTGGCATGTAGTGTGGGGTAGTGGATCCAATTTTATTTTCCTCCAGAAAGATGGCCAATTATTGTAGTACAGCTTATTTGTGAACTGTCCTGACCTACAAATTTGAAATTCCGTATTGATTAAAGAATACATTCCTAATATACCTGCATTTTCTTCTGGACTCTCTTATGTCGATACTGTTATCAATATTATACTTTTTTGATTCAAGTATTTTTAAGACAAATTTTAATACACAGCGATAAAAATATACTAGCTAAGGTTTGTAATATCTTACAGCTCTAACTGCTTCATAGACATTGTTTTTAATACTCCCAGTGATGTACGACTATCATAATTTTCTCTTTTGTTTGTATTTTGGAACAGTTTTATTGAGATATAATTCACATACCACAGAATTCACCTATTGAAAACTGTATAATATAGTGTTTTTTAGTACATTCATAGCACTGAGCAACAAAATCACAATTTTAGAACCATTATATCACCCCGAAAGAAACTTTTGGCTTTCACGCCCTGTATTTCCTTTCTTGCTTATCCTCTAGGCAACCACAAATTGACTTCCTATCTCTTGAGACTTACCTTTTATATACATTTCATGTGAATGAAATCATATAATGTTTTATGAATAGTTTCTTTCACTAGGATGTTTTTCAAGGTTGATCTGTGCTGTAGTGTCCTTTTTTTTTTTTTTAATTAATACCTAATAAACTCACATGTGGTAGAATCCATCATTCCTTTTTATTGCTGAATGATATCCTACTGTAGGGATATACCACATTTTTTTTTTTATCTATTCAGCAGTTCATTGACAAGTTTCTACTTTGGGGGCATCAGGAGTAACGCTGCTATGAAAATTCACGTACCATCATTCCTTTTTATTGCTGAATGATATCCTACTGTAGGGATATACCACATTTTTTTTTTAATCTATTCAGCAGTTCATTGACAAGTTTCTACTTTGGGGGCATCAGGAGTAACGCTGCTATGAAAATTCACGTATATGTTTTTGTCGGATATAGGTTTTTATTTCTCTTAGGTATATACCTAGAAGTGAAATTGCTGGGTCATATTGTAACTATATCTTTTGAGGTTTTTTGGGTTTTTTTGTCTTTTTTGGTTTTTTGTGGTTTGGGTTTTTTTGGTGGCTGGTCGGTACAAGGATCGAACCCTGGATCTTGGTGTTATCAGCACTGAGCTCTAAAATATGTTTAAAAATATGAAGAACTAGCAGACTGTTTTCCAAAGTGACTGCATCATTTTACATTTCTACCAGAAATGTATGAGGGTTCCATTATCTCTACATCTTTGTTAATACTTGTTATAGTTTCTTTTTTATTTTAGTCATCCTAATAGTGTGAAGTGTTTGTGATTTTGTGATTTGATTTTTTTGTGATCATTGCGATTTTGATTTGCGTTTCTATAATGATCAGTGATGTTGAGCATCTTTTCATGTGCTTGTTGGCCATCTGTATGTCTTCTTTGGAGAAATGTCTGTCCAAATTCTTTGTTCATTTTGAAATTGAATTGTTTATCTTTTCATTGTTGAGTTGTAAGAGTTCTTTATATATTCTGTATACCAATCCCTTATCACTTACATGATATCTGCAAATATTTTCTCTCATTCCATGGGTTTTTTTCATTTTCTTGATAGTGTTCCTCAGAGTACAAAAATATTTAATGTTGATGAGTGTCTTTTGACGTACAAACATTTTTTTTTTTTTAAAAGATGACCGGTAAGGGGATCTTAACCCTTGACTTGGTGTTGTCAGCACCACGCTCAGCCTGTGAGCGAACCGGCCATCCCTATATGGGCTCCGAACCTGGGGCCTTGGTGTTATCAGCACCGCAATCTCCCGAGTGAGCCACGGGCCGGCCCGTTTTTTTGTTTTTTATTTTTGTTTTTTTGTTTTGTTTTGTTTTGGTTTGGTTTTTTTGTCCTTTTTGAGACCGGCCGCACCGCGCTCAGCCAGTGAGCGCTATGAGTGCACCGGTCATCCCTATATAGGATCCTAACCCGCGGTGGGAGCGCCGCTGCGCTCCCAGCGCTGCACTCTCCCAAGTGCGCCACAGGCTCGGCCGGTACAAACGTTTTTGATACTGATAAAGACCAATTAATTTATTTTTTCTTGGTTGCTATGTCTAAGAAGCCATTGCTAAATCCAATGTCACGTAGCTTTCCTCTATATTTTCTTGTAGGAATTTTATTGATTTAGGTCTTACATTCAGGTCTTTGATACATTTTGAATGAATTTTTGTATATGGTGTAAAGTAAGGGCACAAGCTCATTCTTTTGCATGTGGTATCCATTTCTCCTAGCACCATTTGCGGAAAACTTTTTTCATTCCCCATTGAATTACCCTGGCACCCTTTTAGGAAATCAACTGACCACATATGTGAGAGTCGTTTCTGGACTCTCAATTCCATTCCATTAATCTACATTTCTGTCCTTAAGCCAGTATGACATTGTTTTTATTTCTGCAATTTGTAGTATTTTTTTTTTTTTAAGATGACCGGTAAGGGGATCTTAACCCTTGACTTGGTGTTGTCAGCGCCACACTCTCCACTCTCCGCTCTCCCGAGTGAGCCAACCGGCCATCCCTATACAGGGATCCGAACCCATGGCCTTGGTGTTCTCAGCACCACACTCTCCCAAGTGAACCACAGGCCAGCCCTGTAGTAAGTTTTGAAATCCAAAAGTGTGACTCCTTCAACTCTGTTCCTCTTTTTCAAGATTGATATGACTATTTGGTGTTCTTTCCATTTTTATATGAACTTTAGGATTAGTTTGTCAATGCCTGCCAAGAAGCCAGTGTTAAAAAACACTGAGGAAAGCATGATCTTTATTAGTTTTAGTAGCTTCTACCAGATTTTTCTCTAGGCATGTAAGTTTAGGCATGTAAGTAGTTTTAGTATATATTTAGCATAGAGTTTGGAATATCCAGGATCATGGGCTAAGCAGACAGTGAGTTCAGGACTAAAAGAAAAAATGTTCTGCATTCATATTGTGCCTTAGAAAAGAAGTCAGTGGTGGGGGAAGTAGTTTAAGTTGGCTGACTGGAGGTACCCAGCTCTCACCTCTGACACAAGGAAAGGCAGCTCATGCACATCTCTGGGTGGAGGTTTTAGTGTAAGGGGTGAGGTAGTAGTATCCAGCACGTGGGGCAAATTCATCTCTAATGGCGAATTCTTGGGTCAGCGCAATGTCTTCTGAAGCAATGTCATCTTGGCAGGTGAAATTTTGGCCCAGGATAATGTCATCTGGGATGTGGGACTGGGATATCCTTTCAAGTGAGTACCCACTTGAGTTGATGTGGGCCTCTGGGTTGTAAACCAATTGAAGTATCCAAACTGGTAGTAATAAGACCAACAGTCAACAGAACATTCTGCAGCTGGACCTCACAGGTTTTTTATCTTTGGGTGAAAGTTTAGTTTTAAATGGGTCCTCTATCAGATGAGCTGCTGCCTGGCCTATGGTACAGTCTGTGGCTAATGAGTCCCAGGAAAGTATATGCCCTTGATCTGCCTTCAGCTCTTGTGAGATGGGGGCAAAATTGAAATTTTGTAAAGACTAGTTAAGACCCGGGGCAAAATAGAAATTTTTTTTCTTTTTTTTAAAAAATTTTTATTGAATCAAAATTGATGATACATATTTTTGGGGTTCAACATTGAGATATGTTGATCAGATCATTACTAGCATATGTATTGTTATGAATCATAATTTTTTGTGCCCCTTGTCCAATTTCTCCCTATCCCCTTCTCCCTAGCCCCACCTACCTCTAATTATCCTAGATTTCTTCTCTCCCTCTGAAAGAGTAATGGTTACTCTGTTGATTTGTTGCCTAGATGATCTGTCCAGTGCTGAGAGGTGTGATCAGGTCCCCAATATTATCATAGAGCAATGCTTCTTCTGTCACTCTGAAATGGACTTTGTGGAGAGAGACATCCTCTTCTTTTCTTTATCTCTGCTGGTGACTCTCCTTGTGTCAATGCACTCCAGTGGCTGGCAGACCATCTGCATGGTGGTTGTGGTGTCTAGCTGCTTTCACGGCAGCCATGGTTATTGTGGTGGCTGTGGTGGGCCACCTACATGGAGGTGATGTTTTTGGCATGCTCCTTTGTGCTGGCATGGTGTGCCTGGTTGTGGATTGGAGGTCTGGTCCCTGGCTCTATACCCCAGGCCCCTGGGTGGAGCCCCGAGATGCTGGCAGTGTACCTGGTTGTGGGAGGGGAGTCCGGTCCCCTTCTCCAAAAATAGAAATTTACTTAGGGTTTATTTGTTGGACTGGAATTTGAAAAGGAGTTGTGTTAGGACTGCATTATGTCTCTCACTTAAACTGGCTGTTTAGGACCTGACATGGACATGAGTGTTATATTGCATACCTTTTCCAAGAGCCTAGCATTTTGCATTTTAAGAAGTGATGTGTGTTGGTTACTACCAGTAATGCCTGATGCTCTGGAGGGAGTAAGGAGTGTTCTGGCAAGGCCTGATATTGTGACCTTAGCTTATGTGGCAACGTGTTATTTTGATTTATATTTTTGGGTACCTGTGAGGCAAGAGCTTCCCAGAATTTTTAACCTCAAGGGGACAATTTTTACTTAACAGGCTCAGTGGTTTTCAATAAACATGTAGATGGGGCCATTTGTTGACCAGGGCAGAGTGCTAAGATAACTGCCTGAAGTTTTATTAAGTGTGTTATTTCCTGGGTCTTGTCCTTTATTAGGGACATCCTTACTAAGGGATGGAAAGCAGCAACACTACACTAAGCTCCATCACATGGGATGATTAGCAGTGCCATTCGCATAGTCTACAAACTCCCATGACTGTTCACTCAGCAAGTCCCAAGGGGCTTTCCAGGTAGTCTAAAGTCTGGGGGAGACATGACCTCCTCCAGCACTGCAGCATCTGGCAAGGGACTGAGGAAAGGGGAAGCCACCCCTTTTGTAGGTGGAATTTATCAGAGTGCCCAGGTTTGGCTTCATCTTGTCTTAAGGAGAAGTCAGTAGCTGTGCAAACTTGTGGCGTGTTGCTTCCGTGACCCAAAGCATAATGTTCAGCTGAGTACAGAAAGTTACCAGCTCAGAGTCTGTGAGAGTCTCTGTGTTCAGGAGAGCCGAGTAGGAAGCCAGTCATTCATTGTTTGAATGGTGTATAATACAAAGCCAAGATGTGCAGTCTTTTGCATTAGAAGCCCTGGGGTAACTAATGGCTACCATAAGTGGTCCAGAGACTCCAGGAGGCATGAAAAGGTTGCCAAAGTCTTTACCATGAAGGAGTTCTTTTGAATGCACTAAAAGGAGTTCTGTTGAGTTTAATTTACAAGTAAAATTTGTAAATGAGGAATTTGTTGCTAACTACCAGAATCCAAAAAATACAAAAAGATATTGGACTTATATGTCCTTAATGAGTGTGTAAAATGAATCTCCTTGGAGGAAGATGTTATTAATGTAATGTCATACCTGTGTTCCTAGAGAAAGGTACATGTTGTCAAGATCTTGCCTGTGGGCTGGCCGGTTAGCTCATTTGGTTAGAGTGTGTGGTGCTGATAACACCAAGGTCAAGAGTCTGGATTCCTTATTGGCTAGCCACCAAAAAAAAAAAAGAAAAAAAAAAAAGAAAGAAAGAAAGAAAGAAAGAAAGAAAAGAAAGATCTTCTCTATAAAGATTGCGTGATGACAAAGCTATTGAGGAACCCCATGGATAGCCTGGAAAAGCTTATTATGTCCCTTCAGAGCTGGAACCAAACAACGGCCAAGAAGCTGTTGAAACAGGCTCTAAACAGAACATGTTGGCTAATCTATAAGAGCAAATTATTTAACAGTTGTTGATTGAATAGAATCAGTAATTTTAACAATATTGGGTATTAGGTATGGGGGCCTTGATGGATGGGACCACGGCGTGAAGGTTGTACTAACCCATCGTGAGGGGCCATTTATCACTTTATTTTTAGATTTAAGAACAAGCAAAATGGTGCTGTCAAATGGAGAATAGAGGGGATAATCAACCTGTTATTAATTAAGTTGCATATATATAATTTCAATCCTTGAAGGCCTTGCTTTAAATTACATTGGGTCATATTAACAGTTTTAAAAGGGGGATTGTGGTATTTCATTAGATCAAGTCAATTCGTACTTTTAATTTATTATTCATTATGTTGGAGCATCTGTGCCCAATATGGAATATTTTAGGGCAATGCGTACTATTACTGTGGGAAATTTAGGCAAAGATCAGGTAAGTGAGGCATACCCACTGTTTGTCTGTTTTATATTTAGCTACCCTCTTAAGATTACAAGATACAATGTTTAAATTTAGTGGGATATGAAGGTATAACTATAATTTGAGCCAAGTATTGAGTACATGAATGTTTTTGTCAGTTGGTACATTTTCCAATTGTTACAGTTAAGTTAGAACCGGTGCTGTAGGGGCCGGCCCAGTGGCGCACTGGAGAGTGCGCCACTTGGGAGCGCAGTGGCGCTCCCGCCGAGGGTTCGGATCCCATGTGGAGACCAGTTCCCGCTCACTGGCTGAGGGCGGTGTGGGCGCAACACCGAGGGCTGTGATTCCGTTGCCGGTCAGTAAAAAAGACAAAAAAAAGGAAAAAAAAAAAAAAAAAGAACCAGTGCTGTAGAGGCATAAAAGCCAATAAGTGCCCTTTTTTTTACATCTTGTTATATACATTCTTTTTAAAGGAAATTTGAACAGGAGGGGGCTGGCCAGATAGGTCAGTTGGTTATAGTGTGGTGTTATAATACCAAGGTCAAGGGTTCAGATCAACATACCTGACAGCTGGGAAAAAAAATTGAACAGGAAAGTTTAATATAAAGAACTATAACATTCGGATCCCCTCTCAGCCAGTCACTGGGGAAAAGAAAAGAATTAACTGTAACAGAGGATTGTGGTAATGAGGGATTAGCTAGTAGGAAGTAAAGAGAAATTCTAAAGAATACAGGAGTAACAGATATAAGAGGAAATCAAAACGCCTAGGGCTGAGACAGAGAGCCCAAGGGAAAGCCTCCCCCAGCACATACTTTCCTTTCCCCGAGGCTGAAATCTAGACCTTGTTGGAGAGGGTACATTCTTTCATACTATACCTAAATTTAGCATGTCAATTTTGGATCTCCAATGGGATTAAATTACAGAATTTTGTTTTAATTTAGTTATACAGTATATTCTATATACACCTACATAACAATACCCCAGCACAGTGGTCTAACAGGTGAGTCTCCAAACTCTCATGTGCCAGTTTCACCAAACACCTTGCCAATGCCCAATAGTCTCAGCTTCAAGGTGGGATTGCTCCTTTCCTGTCCCAGAACTTTATGACACAAATTGGGACATTGACTAGCTTAGCCATTTTGAATCTGACCAGTAGTTCTCATTCAGGAGACTGATAGCAAGCACAGTTGCCCCCTTCCTGTAAGGGCTGGGGTTTTAGCTGCACTGAATTGAGGCCAAGTGATACTGGAAGGGAAAAAATTGGTATATTTACTGCCTCTTTGGTGTTACTTTAAAATATCTTTTCCTTCAATCTGTCTGGGTTTTTTTTTCCTCAGTAGAGGGTATTTTAAATCAAGTTCCTATGAATAATCTTTTATATTTGTCTCGAAGGGCATGCATTTTGTTGTATAGGCCATATCTATGTTTAAATTCAGTGGAAAATGCCAAATGGTTTTTCAGAATATTTTGTTTTTTAAGAAAATCACAAGACCAGCAAGAAACAAAGGGAGAGGAAACAGACATCTCCTCAATGGGAAACAATTCAGAGCCATTCTTCATCTACCACAATATGTCCCTGGGTTTCAATATCTGTATCTAGCGGCTGATCCTATTCCTCATCTGTGCCTTTTTATCAGTTTGTGTGCTAGTGGCTTTGTCCACAGGTCTGTGGGTTTATTAGTCCGTTTTGTGAAGACTGGGTAATTTATAAAAAACGGAGGTTTATTTGGCTTATGATTCTGCGACAGCTGCATCTGGCATGGGCCTCAGGCTGCTTCTGTTCATGGCAGAAAACAGCAGGTAGCCAGTGGGTACAAGCAGATCACATGGCAAGAGGAAGCAAGGGGGGGTGCTAGGGTCTTTTAAACAACCAGCTCTCGTGGGAACTAATAGAGTGAGAACTCACTCACTACCCCTCCTCCCCCAGGGAGAGCATTAATCCATTCACGAGGGATCTGCCCTCATGAATCAATCAGTTTCCAACACTGCCACACTGGGGATCAAATTTCCACATGGGTTTTGGAGGGGACAACACATCCAAACTCCATCAGTGGGTAACCTTGAAAAATTGGATAAATTCCTGGAAATATACAACCTATCAAGACTGAATCATGAAGAGACAGAAAATCGGAAC